GCTCGCTCCTCCCTCCCTCAGCTCCGCGGCTCCCGCGCTCCCGGCGAGGCTCCGGCGCCCGGCGCGGACGGGCACACGGACGGACAGCACCGGGACTCCTCAGCCCGCGCCTCCCGGGCGGGCTATGTTGATTGCCCCGCCGGGGCCGGCCCGCGGGATCAGAGGAGCCCGGCCCGCGGCCCCGGCGGCCAGCGGGGACTATGAACCGGAAAGCGCGGCGCTGCCTGGGCCACCTCTTTCTCAGCCTGGGCATGGTCTACCTACGGATCGGGTAAGGCCGCCGCACCCTGCACGCGCGTCCCGGCAAAGTTGGCGGGCGCGGGGAGGGGTGCGCCGGCCGCGAGGGGCCGCGGGCCACCCACTTCCTTGGCCCGCAGAGAGACCGGGTGGGTGCGGTGCGGGAGCCGCGGGCGCACAATGGCCCCCCGCAGGCGGGCGCTCCGGGGCGGCATAGCTGGAGAGACTCAGACGGAGGACCGGCCATCCCGAGGACGTCTAAGTCGGGAAGCCCCAGAACAGAGACAGCGGGCAAGGACGCCCCAGCTTGGGGTACTCTGAAGAGGGCTGGCTGTGCCGAGGGTCAGCCTCTCCCAGGGGCCCTCTGGGCACAGAAACAGCAGGTCCAGCAGGAACGGGGAGCCGAGCTGTGGGCCAGGACCACAGCCGCTCCCAGGGAGCCCCGCCGAGAGGAACTCTGCACAGAGGCGCGGGCACAGACACTCCCGAGACAGGGCAGTTCCAGGGCGGGTCCGAGCCGCAGGGAACAGGTACCCAGAGAGCAGGACCTTCGCTTGCAAAAACACGAACTGCTGCCCAGAACCGGCACCAACCTGATCTCCAAGGACCCTCAGACTCCCGGAGTCTGAGGGGACAGTGGCAGCGGCCGACACACACACACACACACACACACAAAGGTAGGGAGAGACTGCCCCGAGATACCCAGAGAGACCAGCACAGAGCCAGGGCTGAGAGAGGCAGGAACCCCGCACCCCAAAACTGGCCACCTGAAGCTGCTCTCCCCAGCATTTGTGTGGCGGTGGGGCCGGCGCTCTGGCAAGGTGGCGGGGGCTGGCTGCCGTCCTGCCTCGGCTGTTGCAGGACCAGCCACAGCCACCCTTTGTAGTTGGGAGATAATGCTGCAAGCCGGCCGTGGGGGCGGGGCCGCCGGGGTCGGTAGGGGGTCTGGCAATAAAGGGCCACCTTGCCAGGTTTTACACAGCCTGCTACCCCACCCCAGCAGGAACCCGGCCACCGCTCCGCTTGCTCCTCTTGTGCGCGCCTGGGACTGCCCGGCTGCGCGGCCAGTGGGGGGTGTGGGCAGATCCTTTGTGTTTTGTCACCACCACGCCGCCCCTTTCCCCACCCGCTGCTGTACGACCAGCGTTTCGCAAGTTGACCGGCCCGGGCGGGCCGAGCAGGTGCGCAGTGTGGACCAGGCAACCGCTGGCCCCCTCCGCGGGCACAGACGCGACCGCAGGCGGGAGAGGCGGCCGCGGGGCTCGCGCGCTGCCTGCCTGCCGGTGTATTTTAAGTGTTATTGATTCGCCCGCGTCTGGGTGGATTTGCTTTTTCCCCAGCTTTAATCTTCATCTTGGCCCGCGCCCTGCGGCCCGCGCGCATCCAGCATCCAGGAAGCTGGTCGGGCTGATTGGCGCTGGCCGCGTGCGGCTTTATCTCCTTTTTAATTAGAAACGGGGCGGAGGGGCCCGGGAGGGAAGAGAGAAAGGGAAAACAACAGAAAATAACCTCCCCTGGCTGCCCTGCCCGCCAGCCTGCCAGACCGCCTGCCGGCGCCGAGAGACCTCATTGGCCCCCGGGGGCCCAGCTGCCCCAGAGGGAGGGAGCCCGGGAGGGCGCCGGCCTTCCTTCCCGCGGTCACCCTCAGGCGAGAGCCGGCCAGGGCCAGGTCGGGAGGAGGAGCAGCAGGGTGGTTTGGGGCAGGCCCTGTGCTCCCTGGGCCTTGAGATGGCCATCTGTAAAATGGGCCCAACGAACCAAGAGCCAGAAGGGTCTTGTAACTCCCCAGATGTGATTGGCTGCTAGGTTCTTATTTTATTTGGGTAGTTTGAGTGACTCGAAAACTGGCCTCTTCTAACATATTGGGAAGAAAATACCCCCTCTAATAAGAATAACTATACTGAGGACTGCACAATTATTGAGGACTTAACTAATGTGTCTGACACCTAAACACCCTCCATATTTGAACATTTATTCCTCCCAGCAGCCCTATAGAGCAGGGACCCGTTACCCATATTCTTACTTTACAGAGGGGCAGAGATGGGGCTGTATGCCCAGTCAGGAGGCGAAGGACTTTCTCAGTGGTCAGCCAGGCACTCAGGGCTCCTCCTGACCTGTGGCCAGGATACCTCTACCCTGGCTTGATCTTTCTGGGCCTCACTCCTCGTCTTTCTGGTTGTGGCGGACACCTGGGCTCTGTGTGGGGCCCTGAGTGGCTGAGTCCCATCCTGGCTGGGACGTCTCCTGCTGGCAGCTCCCTGAGCCTGGGCTCAGATAGATGAAATGATATGAGATACGGTGCTTTCTGTCCTGTTTAGGGCTCATGTTTGGGTAGCCCCTGTGGCTAACCTTGGCCCTCAAGAAATGGGGGCTCTGATTCTAAGCAAAGTGAGGTGTCGGGTGAAGTCACCTCTAAAAATACTCTTGCTGTATTTAAAGGTTTTGAAAGGATTTCGCAAAAGGAATATGGGTCATCTTGATTGCAAAGGGAGGGTTACCTGCATTGTCAGAATTACCACTGGAGCCTGTTGGGGGTTATCTTGATATTAGGAAATGACCCCGCCCTCAGGCCAGATACCCAGGAGTCGCGCCTCTTTCCCACCCTGCCCATCAGGGTGGCAAGTCTGGTTCACGCCCTCTGCAGCTACCCCGACTGCCCCAAGTGGCTGCCCCCGCCCCCTCTGAATCACCAGCTCTGGCTCTCCCTGCTGCTGCCCTGCCCCCCACAGCGAGGGAGGCATGGGATCTATCTGTATCCTTTTTACGACCCTTTGACGCACCTGAGAAGGTTCTAGACCTGAGCCAGATCTCTCCCTAGACTGAGCCCCCCTCCCTGGAGCAGCCGGGTTCCATCGGCTTCTGTGGGGTCTTTTTTGTCCTTGGTGATGGATCCCAAGCTTTCTCCCCTCCCAGGACTTTGCTTTCTTCTGTTCCCTCTCCCCAAAATATCCTTCCCCAGCACTTCCCACAGCTTCTCTGGCCATTCAGGTCCTTGTCCCACTGCACACCCTCAGGAAGGCCCTCCTTGACCATCTGGCCCCTCTCTCCTTTCACCCAAGCCCACCCCAGTCGCCATCACACCATCCTCGCTCGCCTTCCTCATGGCGGGCTCCGGAGTCTGGAATGGCCAGCTGTAAACCTCACTTGCGGCACGTGTGTGTCTCCCTCCAGGCCTCTGGAAGGCAGGGCCTGCCTCTCTTCCAGCATGGCCCCTGGCCCACACAGGTGTGCAGTGCACCTGTGCAGTGACTAACTCAGGAAGCTAGGACCCTGGCCCAAACTCCACTGGCATGCAGGAAGAAAATACTAGAATGTCTGTTTACAGTTGCTTTTCAAAGTTTCCCTCTGCCCCCTTTTGATAAAAAATAAACATACAGACATCTGAGGAAATAGGTATAACATGTAAGAAGAGTTTTATTTTTTGAATGAACACATGTGTGTCCACTGGCCCTATTTGCCTCTGTAGAGATGTAGAGGTGATTCTGACCCCGTGTCTGGTTTCATCCCCCCTAATTTTTTTTTAAAGATTTACTCATTTATTTTTATGCATACAGAACTGGGGTGCAGGCCAGAGGTGAAGGGGCAGTGAGAGGCTTCACCAGAGACAGAGCGGGGAACAGAACAGGCAGATTGATGAAGTCCACTGCTGAGGGGAGCAGCAGGCGGGTCAGGAGAGGTCTGCTGGGCCACGTGGGTCACCTCGGGGGTGGGGATTGAACTCATGCTGAAGTGGCTTTAGCTTCTTAGTGTTGTGCTTTAACCTGCTGCGCCACCATGGAGGACTGACATCCCCCATAATTTTAAACTTCGTCTCAGTTGAACCCTCGCATAAATACAAGGGAATGGTCTCCGGTCACCTCACATCGTGCTCCCGGCATACAGCACTTTGTCTCTCAAAGGAAATCAAGCCTCACTGGTATTAAAGATACACATCACTCAAGTGTGATGGATTACAAGTGAAAATACACGGGTTGGGGTACAGCATCAGAAAGGTTGGGGAGAGCCCCTCCTGGAGTGCTCGGGGGGGCTGGCGGTCAGGGGGGCTGGTGGTCAGGGCTGGTCACCCAGGCGAGCCTCTGGGTCTCGCCCCCACCTGGCTAGCCTAATGCTCCTTCTCTCTGTGTCCCCTGCTCCAGTGGCTTCTCCTCGGTGGTGGCTCTGGGCGCGAGCATCATCTGTAACAAGATCCCAGGCCTGGCCCCCAGACAACGGGCGATCTGCCAGAGCCGGCCCGACGCCATCATCGTCATAGGAGAAGGCTCACAAATGGGCCTCGACGAGTGTCAGTTTCAGTTCCGCAATGGCCGCTGGAACTGCTCGGCGCTGGGGGAGCGCACCGTCTTCGGGAAGGAGCTCAAAGTGGGTATGTGCTCCCTGGACTCCCGTGCAGTTGGGCCTGCCCTGCGAGCCCTTACTCCCAGAACCCCCGGGACCCTCACCTGCTCCGCCCACGGCCCCGTGAAGGCGCTGCAGCACCCCTGAGCCAGGTCTTGGCCGAGGCGTGGGGGCCACACCCCCGCCGCCGTGTGGCCGAGCGGAAAGCCAGTCCCCAGCACTGGCTGATGTGGTGCCGCTGTCACTGTTCAGTGGAAGCCCTGATGTTAAAATGGTCTGTTCCGCCTAAAAATACAAATTTCGGGCTTCTTTTGAAAAACCGGCCACTTTGCCAGGGGGTTGCACGTGCCCACCTGGCTGTAGAGCTGTGAGGCTGAGAATGTGGCTTCTTTCGGCTGGAGCGTGGCAGCCCATCACTGCCAGAGTCCCCACTGCTCCCTGTTACTGCCCAGCCCCCCGTGGGGCCCCTTGCTGCTCGGGCTTCTGACTTTGAGACCCCAGTTTGCTGACGTACGTATGCGCGCACAGAGTGTCAGGCCAAAGCAATCTTGAGAAACCTGGGGTGGGGACCGCGTGGGGGGGGGCTCTGGGAGGCTCTGCTGGGTGGGGAAGGCGTGCGTGTGTCTTCTTGCTCATGTGCGTCTGGCCTGGGCTGTGGAGACGGATGTGCAGAGCCTGCAAGCCCCTGAGCTGTGAACGTCCCCGAACGTCAGGCCAACCTCGGGTCTGGAGAGGGGGGCCCAGCCTACTCAGCTGCTGAAAGGGTGCCCCTGAGTTCTTTGTCTTGCTCAGCCCCAACACCGGCAAGGCAGCGGGTGTTGAAGATACACACTCCAGTCCACCCCGTTGGTGCCCTTCCTGCCTGCCCGGTCAGCCTGCCGGGCTGCTCTCTGGAAACAGAAACCCGCAGCATTGCCCCGGGACTTCACGCCGGCAGGGCCTCCCCGCGGCCGACTCTGCCTGCTTGGCCCAGTGTTCCAGGGCTCTGTACCCCAAGCCCCTGTTCCTGTGCCCAGCATCCTCCCTCTGTAGCCCCGCTGAAGCTGAAGTCCCCGCTCACCCCGAAGCTGCCTCCCACCCCAGCCCTGAGTCCTGTCTCAGTCTGCTAATCCAGCGGAGGGCCAGCTCCATGCAGGTTGGGTCCCCTGCCCCCTGCACCCGGCTTTCTGGGCAGGACGAACAGCACCACCTCAACCCTGCAGCGGGGCTGGTTACATCACCATGTCTGTACCCCTTACTCACAAGCCCTGCTCACACGGAGGAGAGCGGGGTCCCGGGTTAGGGGGACTCAGGCAGGCCCAGCGGCTCCTCCTGAGCCATCTACCACACGCCCTCCCCCCTTGCCACAGCTTGGTGGTGAGGGTTTTGGCTTCCACTCCTCGGGGCTCACTTTTCAGGTGGAGAACTGAGGTCCTGAGAGAGGTGGGGACCGGCCATCTCATGGGCGACGGCTTCCACACGGGGCTTCAGTTTAGGTCCCTGAGACCCCCAACTTGTGAGCTTCCCTGAAGTCACCTGCAGCTTCTCTGCCTTCTCTTGCTCAAAGCCCCCACCCCTCTTCTGGGCCTGCCTCTGGCGTGACTTCGCACTGCTGACTATGTTAAGGCGGAGATGTTGTAATGAGAGAACCAAGTCTCAGAAGGGATTTGTCTGAGGCCAGCAAAAGTGAGTGGTGGGTGTCCCAGGGTTGCTGCCCCCACACAGCTGCATCTCGGGACAGCCAGCACATGGGCCCAGCAGACATTTACTGCTGGGGCACAGTAGAAGGCTAGGGAGGTCGGGGACCAAGCACCCCTCTTGTCAAAATTGTAAAGTTGGGGGATCCATTGTCGCCTGTGGGCACCACCCCTAAGCCTGGGGAGAAGCAGTGCCAGCAGGTTTTGTATTCAAAGAGAGAGAAGCCCAAGGGGATAGCACTGCTGAGGCAACTGGCTGACAGGCCTGGGGGCGGGGGGCTAGAAGTAGGAGTGGGGGTCAGTTAGAACAGTTCAATTACTAAGTGGTGGGAGCAATGGGAAAAATTTGATCGCAGGCATGACTGCCAGTGGTTGCAATGAAACTGCCATGATTCAGTGAGTTCTGGCTCACAAAAATGGCAACCTCATACAAATTCTAGAAGATTCATTAAAACGTGAGTCCAGCACCCATTCATTCATGATATCATTTACTGCCTCCATGCTTTTGCCAATTACTTACTGAGTGGCCTCCATGTCTGGAGGCTGCTGTTTAGTCTCCTCAGAGAAAGCCTTTGGGCTCAAAAGAGAGGGAGCCAGAGGCAGGTCTGAGAGAGGGCAAGTGCAAAGGCCCTGAGGTAGAGAGCAGAAGGAGGCTGGTGCAGTGGGGTTCATGAGACCAGGGCGAGGTGCGCAGAGGTCAGAGAGGGGCTGGGCCGTGCAACGTCTGTCAGGCCAAGTCAAAGAGCTGCACTTTCCTCCCTGTGAGTGGGAATCAGGGAGTCACAGGATCTGACTTTGGGTTCGAAGTGTGACTCAAGCTACTCGGAAGAGCAGGAACTGTGGAGAGTCAGGATTCTGGTCCTGTCTTCCGGAAAGGCAGGAGGTGACAGTGTCTCAGGTCTGAGGGTTGCTGTGAGATCTGCTTTGGAAATGAGCTTCTGGGGCAAAGGGCAACTGACAACCTGAAGGCCACTCGGGAAGGACTCAACCTGGCCTGCTGGATTTGGGGTGTAGCTGTGGCAGCAGGGCAAGAGGAGGTCAGAACGGGGCCTTGACGTTCTGAGAAGTCGCCTTCCCCTCGAGCCTCGGTTCCTCGGGTGTGAATAGGTAACCTGTTCAAGGACACCAAGAAGCAAGGCTCAAATGTAGACTTTCTGGGTTCTCCATCAGTGCTCTCCCCCCGCCCCCCCCTCCCATGGGATGGCCTCTTTCTGGGAATGATCTGCCTTTTGTGGTGAGGGTCAGGAGTAGTGTGTTTTAGGGAGCTCTGGCTGCCACATCCATACTCTGGCTAGCAGGACACACCACCTGCCTTTGAAGGAGTTTCCCAGAAGCTCCACCCCACACTTCTGCTGACATCTCATTGGCCAGAAACTTTGTCATGTGACTACACATAGCTGCAAGGGAAGCTGGGAAATACAGTCTTTCATTCAGAGCAGCCCTGATACATGCTAAAGGTGACTGAGGAAGAAAGAGGAAGGAAGCCCAGGTGGGCAGTGACCCCTGATGGACTCCACCCCATGCTGAGATCTCAAGTCTTATGCTCCAGCCCTCAGCCTTCCCTCGGTCACCAGCTCTGTCTGAGCTTGATGATTCTGTCTCCTCTCTTGAGTGTCCCAGATCTCATTGCTCAGGTCTGAGGAGAAGGCCGTGGGCACGTACGATGCCAGGCTCTCTTGGAAGCTAGAAACTGAAACCCAGTTCACACTGCCTCAAGCGAGAAGAGGGACTTCTACAGGTCTGTGCAATGGGAAGCCAGGCATGGTGCTGGCTTTTAGTATGGCATGGACAGAAGGTAGCCTGGCTCCGTCCACCCCAAGTTTCCCCTTGGGGCAGCTAGAAAGCCCCTGAAGCTCTGTCACTACAAGCTCCAAATTAAAGTCCTCCACAAAGGACCTTAGCCTTTCTCTGACAGCAAAAGTTCTAGGGTTTGCCTGGATTGGACCAGCTAACGGATTTGATTTTTAGTCATGTGTCCACCCCAAACTAATCACAGTGACCAAGGACAGCAGTATTTTTGTTGGCCAGGCCTGGGAGCCCCACCCAGGCCATCTCTCAGGGGAGAGGGACTGTTAGCGAGTCTGTCGGTCTGCTGGGCTGATTTTACAAAGTAGCTCAGGTCAGATGACTCAAACAACAGTTATTTTTTCACAGTTCCGGAAGCTGGGAGTCCAAGATCCAGGTGTCGGCAGCTTTAGTTCCTATTGAGACCTCTCTCCATGGCTTTGGGGATGTCCACTTTCTTCATGTGCCCACACAGGGCCTTTTCCTGGGTGTGTCCATGTCCTAATCACTTCCTAGAAGAATACCAGTGCGATTGGATCAGGGCCCACCCTATGGTTTCATGTGGGTGTGGTATGTGACACCACAGCAGCGTTATCAACTGCTGCCCTGGCCCCGTGTTGTTCTTGGGACCAACAGGGCATTCACCATACCCCTAGACTTTCCTTCCTTATATAAGACAGTGAGTCCCCTCTGACTCTACCACCTGGCCCAACTAGAACAAGGGTGAGTAATTGACACCCACCCCCTGCACCTGCTGTTTGTCCTTGCTATAGTCATCAGAAGTAAATTAATGGGCTTGCAAAGAAAAAGGCATCCTACTCTTTGCACTTTTTTTAGAATTTACATCTTTCATTCAGTAGTAGTGAAACTCACTTATCACTGTGTTGATATATTCCTGGTCCCAACCTAGGACCTGCGCTTTTGGTTGTGGACCACCTGGCTTGTCACTGAGCATTTGCTGTCACTTACTGTACCACCATGGCCTCTTTGCATTTTTTTCTCTTGGGTCTATACAGAGGGACTCACTTCTGGTTGTAGGGTATGATGTCAACCTGGTTTCCACAGTGGCTGTGCCAAGGCCATTCTGCCAGCCAGCAATGTTGAACCACAGCCTTGATAACACTTGGGATTGTCTGTTTTTGCTTAGGCACCGGGTGTAAAATGCTATCTCATGGTCATTCTTGAATTGTGTTTCTGTAAGAAGTAAAGTGGCTGAAGTCTCTTCCTATATATTTACCAGCTGAACATGTTTATTCCTGAGTTATTCATGTTGCCCCTTTCTCTATTGAGCCATGTGTTCTTTACTTGAATATTGTGGCTATATCACGTGATGGTGCTGGGGGCTGGGTTGGGTCAGGCAGCATCTTGGGGAGAGTGGGTTCCTTTGGGGCTTCATACTCTTGGCTATCATCTTTTTATTGAGGGTCTTTGGGGTTGAGGTCCAGATGGCTCTTCCTCATACCTGGGCCCATTTAGTCTTATGGGGGCCCCCAAAAGGAGGTGTGTCCATCTCCACCGCTGGCTCAGAGCCAGGTGGGGGCTTAGCATGTGGCTGTTTTGAGGCAGG